AGGTTATGCCCCTCGTGGTTGGTAAGGATGGGAAGGTTATGCCCCTTGTTGGTAAGGATGGGAAGGTTATGCCCCTTGTTGGTAAGGCATTGGGAAGGTTATGCCCTTGTTGGTAAGGTAAGCATGGAAGCGTTGGGTAAGGATGGGAAGGTTATGCCCCTCTTGTTGGTAAGGATGGGAAGGTTATGCCCCCCCCCATGTTGGTAAGTATGGGAGGGTTATGTTATGCCCCTGTTGGTTGGTAAGGATGGGAAGGTTATGCCCCTGTTGGTAAGGATGGGAAGGTTATGCCCTCTGTTGGTGATGGGATGGGAAGGTTATGCCCTGTGGTTGGTAAGGATGGGAAGGTTATGCCCTTGTTGGTAAGGATGGGAAGGTTATGCCCTTGTTGGTAAGGATGGGAAGGTTATGCCCTTGTTGGTAAGGATGGGAAGGTGTATGCCCTGTTGGTAAGGATGGGAAGGTTATGCCCCTTGTTGGTAAGGATGGGAAGGTTATGCCCCTGGCTATGTTGGTAAGGATGGGAAGTTATGTTGGTGTTTGGTAAGGAAGATGGGAAGGTGTGGCCCTTGTTGTTCCCTGTGATGCCCCTGTTGGTTGGTAAGGATGGTCTAGAAGGTATGCCCTTGTTGGTAAGGATGGGAAGGTTATTGCCCCTGTTGGTAAGGATGGGAAGGTTATGCCCCTGTTGGTAAGGATGGGAAGGTTATGCCCCTGTTGAGTGGGATGGGAAGGTTATGCCCCTGTTTGCCCCCTATGGGGCTTTGAAGATAGTTAAAGGCTCAGAGGTGAAGGGTGGGGGTTCTGAATTCTTCTGAGAGGGCAATCCCAGGAAAGAAGAGACTGACCTCTCAGTATATTGTATCTTCAGCTGGAGATCCCAGGAGAAGACGGATAACCTGGCCGCCATGAGGAACAGAGACATCCCTTCATACTTCCAGTCCGAGGTGGCTCCACCCCCCCCCAATTCCTCCAGAACCAGGTGAGATCCAGCCATCATGGCCCCTCATACAGTATGGCTGATATACCCCGACCAGAGCTCTGTGATGGCATTTTATACCATTTATGGACTGATACTCCAAAAACATTATTTGTTTTTACAGTAAAGCTCCAGTTTTTCTTCTCAGTTATAACAGATGTCATTCCAGTCACCAAATCTTATATGTAATGATAAAACACACCGTAGCAATCTTTCAAAACCAAAGGTTCAATCTTTATAAACCACTCCAACGTTCATTCAAATGAATCCCCTGTGATCCCGCCATGAAGGTCCTTATTCAGGCACTTCCTATTATATGGTGACAACTGTCTCTCCCTTGTGCATTGTAAGCCCACCATATGCTTGAAATGGTGGAGACTACAAAGGCTCTGTGATGGACCGTGTATGGTCCAGATAGGGCCAGGTAGAGCCTGGAGGTGACGGGGGGTGGTCTCTTGCACAGTTCCTGCCCAAGCACCCCCCCAGGAAGATGAGAGAGGTTTCTGCAAGGGTGGTGGAAAGGTGCAGTGACTCTGTGGGGCCAAAAAATTGAGGGCGCAGGTGAGCAGGAGTAACAGCTGAGGATGTGCCAAGTTCAGTTAAAGGTGCGGTTGAGTCCCAAGTCTGGTCTAGTAGCAGCTGAGTGGGAAGGCACCAAGCTGAAGGCAGGATCAGAGGCAGTCAAACGTGGGCTACGAGCCGTCAGTGAGGTACGAAATTTTCCAGGCGGGAGCATTGTCAGTAATCCAGGCCAAGGTCTCAAACAATTAGCAGGCAAGAGTAGTCTGAAAACAGGTCACGAAGAATCCGGTCAATCGCAGAATCGGAAAAAGTATCGGGATCAAGAACATAGGAACAAGACTAGAGACCATTCAGCAAAGAGCTTGTGCAGAGCTCTGGTTTCAAGTAGCCCACTTGGCGGCATTGGACACACGCGTAAGTCCACGCATGCATGTGCTCATACTTGCTCGCAATGATGCATGTGCACTTTGACACGTGTGCCCGATTATGCGAACATGTATTAGCCTGACAGCCGGTACATCGTTCCTGACACCAGAAGCCGGTCCATGATGAGCAGCCAACACTGGAGCGTGTGTGGCGGGTAGGTCCCGCGTGGTGCGGCGGCAGTAAGTCCCCTAGATTGCCGAAAACAGTGTATTTCAGAACTAGCAACACAGTACAACCGGCCCGGTGGGGATGTTCACCCGACCGGGGTCACTTACAACAGTTCAGCACAGAGACAGCAGTGACGTAGACTCAGGACTGCCACGAGGAGCAAAGTGCAGCCTGGCCGGTCCAACCCAATGGGGAGCTTCCTGAGAAGGTACACGTAGTCCCTACTCTTTCCCTACTCCACCGTAAACTTGACAGATGGGTGACCTGTCCCTACACTAGCCACCTACAAAAAGCGCGCGCCGAAACCTGGGGCCAGAGTCTTAAATAGACTCTGCTTGACCCAAGATGGCCCCCAGGGTCACATGGGATAACGGCATGCAAACGGAGCAGTGCCCTGTGTGACCGAGGAAGTCATTGAGAAAACCCAGTTTCCCTCAATGGTCTAGCGCCACCTGCAGTGGAGAAAAGAGACTGCACCTGCCTACAAGTGCATGAAGACAGGAAGCGGCACCCACTGGATGGGGAAAGGGTGGTGCTGGCGAAATGCCTCATTTTCCCCATTTTGGGGCTCTTCAGGATGGTTTTTTGATGTCTGAGAAACTTCAGAGTGGAAAGGATTGTTGAGAGTTAAATCTGGTTGGTTGGAATGCGTAGCCATGCTTGATTCGCGATGTCCGAAGGTCTTGGGATACGAATGTTCTCATGTCTACAGATAGTGAAGCCAGTGCCGGGACAAGGCCACCTAGCACCCGGGGCGAAGATGTCAAACAGCCCCCCCAAATGTATGAGCATTGTGTGTCAGCAACCCCCCCCACCCCCGCCAGAAAAAAAATATTTTAAGCAGTAATCTTTACACTTACCCTCAAAGCAAAAATTCCCTTTTCGAGTCAAAATCCCCCCTCCCAGCTCAAATCCACTCCCTCCCCAAAATCTCCCCTCCTATCACAAATCCTCTACCCCTCAAATTTCCCCTCTGAGCATAAATCCTCTCCCCCCCCCTCTAAATCTCCCCCTCCTAGCTCAAATCCGCTCCCTCTCCAAATCCCCTCTCCCAACGCAAATCCCCCTCTCCCAGTGCAAATCCCCCTCTCCCAGTGCAAATCCCCCTCTCCCAGTGCAAATCCCCCTCTCCCAGCGCAAATCCCTCTATCCCAGCGCAAATCCCTCTCTCCTAGTACAAATCCCCCTCTCCCAGCGCAAATCCCTCTCTCCCAGCGCAAATCCCCCTCTACTAGCTCAAATCCCCCCCTCTCCCAGCGCAAATCCCCCTCTCCTAGCTCTAATCCCCCTCTCCCAGCGCAAATCCCAGCGCCCCCTATCCCAGTGCAAATCCCCCTATCCCAGTGCAAATCCCCCTAATCCCAGCGCAAATCCCCCTATCCCACCAGCGCAAATCCCCCTCTCCCAGCACAAATCCCTCTCTTCTTCTAGCAAATCCCTCTCTTCTAGCAAATTCTCCTCTCCCAGTGCAAATCCCCCTCTCCTAGTGCAAATCCCTCTCTACTAGCACAAATCCCCCTCTCCCCAGTGCAAATCCTCCTCTCCCAGCGCAAATCCCCCTCTCCCAGCGCAAATCCCCCTCTCCCAGCATAAATCCCCCTCTCCCAGGGCAAATCCCCCTCTCCCAGGGCAAATCCCCCTCTCCCAGGGCAAATCCCCTTCTCCCAGCGCAAATCCCCCTCTCCCAGCGCAAATCCCCCTCTCCCACCTCAAATCCCCCTCTCCCCAGCGCAAATCCCCCTCTCCCAGAGCAAATCCCCCTCTCCCAATACTAATTCTCCCCCACAATTTCCCCCCCTAGCATAAATTCCCCCAATCATCCCTACTAGCACAATCCTTTCCTCCAAATCTCTCTTCTTAACATGAATCCACCTTCCTAGTAAAAATCCCGCTCCCAAATCACCCCTTATAGCACAACCCCCAATCGGCGCCCGGGGCAGCTGTCCCTCCTGCCCACCCCTTGTCCCGGCCCTGAGTGAAACAAAGACTGGAAGGGTGGGGACCCGGGGGGGGGGGGGGGGCGATTGTATATTTAATGAGACATTTGAAGTCGTTTTACAATACACCAGGCAGAGTCCGCGGTCTCCAGTCGGGGTCTACATCTGCCTGCTGAAACATTTCAAAAGGAATGTCTGTTGAATGTTCTATCCTCCCAGCTACTAACCGGCACCTCTTGTCTTCTCAGCCTCCAGACATGGACGCCCTGTCCAATCAGCTGCCCCCGTTTTCTGCTGCCTGGGAGGAGGAGGAGGGGACAGAGGAGGAGGAGCTGGCAGTCAGTATCGAGGAGGAGGAGTTAGGTGTGTGTGACCACCAAATTGTTCAAAGTCGCCCCACCTCCTGATTTGTATTAGAAGAAGTTCATTGGACGCCATTTTCTGAAAGTAACTTCATAGAAAATCAGAGCAGAGAACCCGGGGTGAGGGATACAATACGGATTTGATTGCATTGTGTGTAGTGGTCAGTTCCTTCAATATACAGAATAGATAGTTGTACCCCTGAAGACGGATCTGTATAGTTCCCCGAACACAGAGGACGGGGCGATGGAAAGACAAGAACACCGATGTACACTTTGAATGAATATTGGAAATTTCTATTTCTGTAGATCAGTGGTCTCCAAACTGCGGCCCGTGGGCTGAATGTGGTGCTTTGCTTGACTTGATTTAGCCCTTAGGGTGCAATTCCTCCCACTGACACCAATGATGGGGCACTATTCCTCCCACTGATACTAATGATGGGGCACTATTCCTCCCACTGACACCAATGATGGGGCACTATTCCCCCCCACTGACACCAATGATGGGACACTATTCCTCCCACTGACACCAATGATGGGACACTATTCCCTCCCAATGATGGGGCTGATCTACCAATGATGGGGCACTATTCCTCCCCCCACTGACACCACTGATGTTGGGGCACTATTCCTCCCACTGATACCAATGATGGGGCACTATTTCCTCCCACTGATACTAATGACGGGGCACTATTCCCTCCCACTGACACCAAATTCCTCCCACTGACACCAATGACGGGACACTATTCCTCCCACTGACACCAAATGATGGGGCATTATTCCTCCCACTGACACCAATGATGGGACACTATTCCTCCCACTGACACCAATGATGGGGGCACTATTCCTCCACTGATACCAATGATGGGGCACTATTCCTCCCACTGACACCAATGATGGGAGCACTATTCCCCCACTGACACCAATGATGGGGCACTATTCTTCCCCCACTGACACCAATGATGGGGCACTATTCCACCCACTGACCCAATGAATGACACCAATGATGGGACACTATTCTTCCCACTGACACCAATGATGGGGCACTATTCCTTCCACTGACACCAATGATGGGGCACTATTCTTCCCACTGACACCAATGATGCGGCACTATTCCTTCCCACTGACACCAATGATGGGGCACTATTCCCCCCTGACACCACTGACACCCAATGATGGGGCACTATTCCTCCCACTGACACCAATGATGGGGCACTATTCCTCCCACTGACACCAATGATGGGGCACTATTCCTTCCACTGACACCAATGATGGGGCACTATTCCTCCCACTGACACCAATGATGGGGGCACTATTCCTCCCACTGACACCAATGATGGGGCACTATTCCTCCCACTGACACCAAAATGGGGGGACACTATTCCTCCCACTGATACCAATGATGGGGGCACTATTCCTCCCACTGACACCAATGATGGGGCACTATTCCTCCCACACCAATGACACCAATGATGGGGCACTATTCTTCCCACTGACACCAATGATGGGGCACTATTCCTATTCATTCCACTGACACCAATGATGGGGCACTATTCCTCCCAATGATGGGGCACTATTCTTTCCACTGACACCAATGATGGGGCACTATTCCTTCCACTGACACCAATGATGGGGCACTATTCCTCCCTCCCACTGACACCAATGATGGGGCACTATTCCTCCCACTGACACCAAATGGTGGGGCACTATTCCTCGTACTGACACCAATGATGGGACACTATTCATCCCACTGACACCAACAATGGAGCATTGATCCTTCCACTGACACCAAAGGGGCGCACTTTCCTCCCACTAAACACCACCACAATGGGCCAATTTTTCTCCCACTGACAAAATGGGACACTGACACTGATACCAATGAATGATAGGGGACTATTTATCCCACTGACAATGACAATGGGGTACTATACCTTCTGTTCGCAGAAGACTTTACTTTTCACTGATCCAGTTGGAGGGCGTATTGATTCCTTTAGTCCAGGGGTCTCCAAACTATGGCCCTCCAGGTGTTGAGGAACTACAAGTCCCATGAGTCCTTGCAAGACTCCCAGAGGACAAAATTATTGGCACCCTCCATGTAATATTTAGTCGCACACACCCCTTGGAACATATAACTGAAATCATCGGCTTCCTGTCACCATCAATGAGTTTTCCATCTCTCTGCTGGAATTTTGGATCGCTCTTCTTCCACCAACTGCTCCGGGTCCCTCAGATTGGAAGGTTCCTTTTCCCAACTGGCTGTTCTGAGATCTCTCCACAGGATCTCTATGGGATGGAGATCTGGACTCATTGCTGGCCAGTTCAGTCCTCTCCAGCGCTTTGTCTGAAACCATTTCTGGGGGCTTCCTGAGTCTCCTTTGGGTCATTGTCCTGCTGGGAGACCCATGACCTCTGACGGAGACCCAACTTCCTGACACCGGACCCTACATTACACCCCAGAAATCTTTGGTAGTCTTCAGATTTCATAATGCCATCCACACGGCCAAGACATCCAGTGCCTGAAGCAGCAAAGCAACCCCAAAACATCAGTGACCCCCCCCCCCCCCCACCCACCATGTGTGACTGGAGGGACTGGATTCTTTTCTTTGAAGGTCTCATTGCTTTTTCTGAAAACAGTAGAATGATGGGATTTTACCAAAAAGCTGCCATTTTGTTCTGTCTGTCCACAGCACATTCTCCTAGAAGGATTTTGGCTTCCTCAGGTATGTTTTGGCAAACTCCAATCTGGCTTCCAAGATGTTTCTGAGTCAGCAGTGGGGTCCTCCTGGGTCTCCTCCCATATTTCTGTGTCAGCAGTGGGGTCCTCCTGGGTCTCCTCCCATATTTCTGTGTCAGCAGTGGGGTCCTCCTGGGTCTCCTCCCATATTTCTGTGTCAGCAGTGGGGTCCTCCTGGGTCTCCTCCCATATTTCTGTGTCAGCAGTGGGGTCCTCCTGGGTCTCCTCCCATATTTCTGTGTCAGCGTGGGGGTCCCTCCTGGGTCTCCCACCATATTTCTGTGTCAGCAGTGGGGTCCTCCTGGGTCTCCTACCATATTTCTGTGTCAGCGGTGGGGTCCTCCTGGGTCTCCTACCATATTTCTGTGTCAGCAGTGGGGTCCTCCTGGGTCTCCTACCATATTTCTGTGTCAGCGGTGGGGTCCTCCTGGATCTCCTACCATATTTCTGTGTCAGCGGTGGGGTCCTCCTGGGTCCTCTCCTACCATATTTCTGTGTCAGCGGTGGGTCCTCCTGGGTCTCCTACCATATTTCTGTGTCAGCAGTGGAGTCTTCCTGGGTACCTACCATATTTCTGTGTCAGCAGTGGGGTCCTCCTGGGTCTCCTCCCATATTTCTGTGTCAGCGGTGGGGTCCTCCTGGGTCTCCTACCATATTTCTGTGTCAGCAGTGGGGTCCTCCTGGGTCTCCTGCCATAGCGTCCCTTCTCATCCAGATGGCGACGTGCAGTGCGAGCGGACACAGTGTTACCCTGTGCCTGAAGGTCAGCTTGAATTAGTCTGGAAGTTCATGGAGGTTCTTTAGCCACCATTCCTACAATCCTTTGTTGCAATCTTTGATCATTTTTTTCTCTTTGGTCCCACGTCCAGAGAGATTAGCTACAGTGCCATGGGCTGTAAACTTCTTGACAATGTTGCGCACAGTGGACACAGGAACATGAACATCTCTGGATATGGACTTGTAACCTTTAGATGACTGTCCATGCTTTTCCACCATTTTTGTTCTCCAATCCTCAGACAATTCTTTGCTGCCCTTTCTCTCCTCCATGTGGCACACAGAGACACCCAACAGAAAGGTGGAGGCCATTTTTCCCCATTGTCCCCGGTTGTCGGTGGGATTTCTATGTTGTCATCACCTGGTCATGGATACGGGGGAGTCTAATAAAAACTACAGGAACATCACTGACTTGGAATGCAATTATTTCTTACCATTTTGAGAAGGTGCCAATAATTTTGTCCGGTCCATTTTTGGGGTCTGGCATGGAATGGGTCAGATTTGGCTTTTTGTTTCTCCACTTTTTTGTGTCTCCAATACAAACCAAAGAAAAAAAAAAAACACAAGAACTCCAAATCATTGGCCAAGGCAGCAATTTCCTGGGTGAAGTGGTGCGTATCTGATGGAAATGCCGGGGGGGGACAATGATTTTGGCCAGGACTGTATGTGAATACCGCGGACTGACAACTTATGGCCCAGGGGGCAGTACAACCCAGAGGCCCATGGTGCAAGGACCTGTTCTCCCTCTTCCCTGCCCCCCCCATCTCAGGCTGAAGCTCTGCTCCAGGTACTCTTTGCTCACCGGGAGGGGGTCAGGCTGGGCAGCGCCTGGTGCACCAATTCCGGGTTTCTAAGCTGGTTGGCGGAGGGAGTCGGGGTGGCTTGGTCAAGGCTGGCCGGGGGAGGAGAGCATCCGGTGGAGTACGGACGTGGCGCCTACCATCCATACCTGGAAGGGGGGGGGGGGGGGGGGCGGACGGCTGTGTTCTGTCCTTGTCCTCATCTCACACATGGTTGGTAGGACACCGGTGGGGACTTTTTACTCCTCTTCACCAGGAAACCTTAACAGATTTTAAGAATTTTCCCATTCTGCAGGTCCTAAGCTGGCCGGTGAGGAAAGACCAATGGAGGGCAAGGATGAAGAAGGCACCATGGTGGCCCCCGGTGTGATCGGGAGGATGAGCACTTCATTGGATCAGGAGACAGGTGAAGCCAATGGGATGTGTAGTTCTGGTAGAAGTAGAGGAATCGGGGTTATTGGGGAGCCCCTTCGTTTGGTTAAATTTCTCTTAGAGCTCCTTGAGACTTGCCTTTGGTGGAGGATGGGGGGAGGGTGATGGGGAGCAATTGAGCCATGTTTATACTGCCCCCCCCTATGACGTCTTATATCTCTGCAAGTCTACCAGTCAAGGTCTGTCTTACTGAAAAGCAATGGACTACCTGCAGTCTCTAATTACGTGGAACATCCACAATGCTCTTTGTCCAGGCTTCCTATGAGGTGTTTTCTTTCCAAGATGAAAGAGGAAGTTTCTGTTCCTGATAATAATGATGTGATAATGCAAATGGAAATCGATTCGTCCACCTTAACCAAACGACTCCTCCTCCAGACGGGACGAATTTTGTTTGGCCAGAGATGATCCCGGCTCAGACCTATCAGCCCCTCAGCCGCAGCCTGATGGTCGATGTGACGGGACGGCCCCGGAGGGAGAAGGTGAAACTACCCGTGTCCATCCTCAGCGGAAAACCGGCATCTGTGCCCAACAACAAGGTGAGTGTAAGCTCCTCTGGTGACCGGCTCAGTGATCTCTGTACAGCGCTGCGGTATATGTCAGCTCTATATACATGTATAATAATAATAGTGTGTGACTGTGGGGGAGGGGCATTAGAGTGTAAGCTCCTCTGGTACAGAGACTGATGTGACTGTGGGGGAGGGGACATTAGAGTGTAAGCTCCTCTGGTACAGAGACTGATGGGACTGTGGGGGAGGGGACATTAGAGCGTAAGCTCCTCTGGTGCAGAGACTGATGTGACTGTGGGGGAGGGGACATTAGAGTGTAAGCTCCTCTGGTACAGAGACTGATGGGACTGTGGAGGAGGGGACATTAGAGCGTAAGCTCCTCTGGTACAGAGACTGATGGACTGTGGAGGGGGAGGGGACATTAGAGCGTAAGCTCCTCTGGTACAGAGACTGATGTGACTGTGGGGGAGGGGACATTAGAGTGTAAGCTCCCCGGTACAGAGACTGATTAGTGACTGTGGGGGAGGGGACATTAAAGCATAAGCTCCTCTGGTACAGAGACTGATGTGACTGTGGGGGAGGGGACATTAGAGTGTAAGCTCTTCTGGTACAGAGACTGATATGACTGTGAGGGGAGGGGACATTAGAGTGTAAGCTCCTCTGGTACAGAGACTGATGTGACTGGGGGGAGGGGACATTAGAGCGTAAGCTCCTCTGGTGCAGAGACTGATGTGACTGTGGGGGAGGGGACATTAGAGTGTAAGCTCCTCTGGTACAGAGACTGATGGGACTGTGGGGGAGGGGACATTAGAGTGTAAATTTTTTGTTTATTAAAATCTTGCAAACAAATAAACATCATAAAAATCATATTTACATATCTACAGAATAAAATATATATAATTAAACAAAACCAGCTTACTTTAGCAAAACAATAACAAATTTTGACCGTCACCTAAACCCCCCCTCAGGCTAAGAAACGATAAAACATTCATCCCATGCATGCCGCCTTTCTTCAAAAATCTGATGTTACAAATATCTAGGGGACGTGAAAGGACGTGCCACCCCAGACAATCGCCGACATCACCAACAGGTTGTCCATGTTAATGGCCATTGGGCCCAAGGATTACGGGACACTGGGGCCACACTCACCCTAGTCCAACCCCAACTGGTACCAGACTGGGCCAAGACCAGGCGGTCTGTGGCCGTACGAGTAGCGGGAGGCCATGTCTACCGGATTCCTACCGCAAGGGTTCATCTGGACTGGG